TTTCATGCGAAAGTTTCCTGTTAAGCACGATATACGGCATACAAGGACCGCCTACTGTTTATCAGCTAAAAAAAAAAGGTGATCAATCATACCTTTGAACTATCACGATGGGCGCTAAAAATTGTGTGCTTTTGATCTTGAAAAAAGCTTTGTGGTCATGGTCACAAAATGCTATAATACTTGGTACTTACAAAAATAAGTAGACCGTTCGTTTTAGGTCGATAATTATTGGTGTTTATTAATATTAATTGATATTTATTCGTCCTAATTTAAATCTTTTTTGCGGTAGCCCCTGCCGGATGCAACACATTCTACTGTTTGTTCCGGTCGTCGAGATAGTTATCAGCTTAGTCACCGAATTTTTTTATTCCTTTTGTCGTGCCGAAACGCTTCTCCTCCAGATGTTTTTATTTTTGGAAATCAAAAGAAGTCACAGGGCCTAGATTCGCACATCACGCTTCTCGAGTTCTGTTTTGCAAAATCTGCCGTTCAAGTGATAGAATATAGAACTAGGACTTGTGATACCCTATTTCTGATTTCTTGTATCGAACAGGCTCACGCAAAGAATTCTCAATTAAGAACAATTCTTGAAGGTACTCCTGAGTAGCCGTGGAGCTGAACGGCATTAAATAATGACAAACACGCGTCGACGATCGAAGAAAACCGTAAAGAGCACTTTGGTTTTGGACCTGAATTGAACAATTTATTCCCGTCGGCTTAACCGATACTTAGAAGATTGTGTCCTGGTCTCCTCGTCGCAGTCGTACACCCGCATCTGGGCGTATGTAAGGAGTTGTTAAGCAAGTGTGGCTTTTTAGAAACGATAAAGTGTATTACGCACGCAGTTTTTTCAACAGTGTGCATCTGCTGAACATTCAGCTGTTTCGAAACAAATTTTGCTGTAAGCTCCCTGACGTCTGAACGGTTGATCACGAAGGCCTGCTATAAACCAGTTAAAATCTCTGTCTCTTCCATTAATTCCTTAATGGTGATTCAGCGACTGGTCGCCACGAGTTGTTTCACCCACTACTTTCTTGTTCGTGATTGTGGTCATAAACCTTCTACATTTTTTTTGGATTTCTGTCAGTCCTCAAAACGCTACAAGTACCAGTCGACGTAAACTTTATTCAGTGTTTGGTTTTAATAGATGCTCTGCGTTATCCGCAGTGTCTGTACGGTTGACTTTACTTTTTTTTCTTATACGAAAACGTAATGCTTGCTCGTTGCTCCATTTAAGAAAAATAGCGGAACGTTCAATACGTAGGTTTACCAATTTCACCAGAAAACTGGAAAGTGCACCGCATTATCGTGGAATGATTGTCGCAGCAAAAGGCCTGGTCTTTTTCCTGCAGTGAACCACAAGCGCTCACCCAATGGCGCGGAAATTCAAACAATTAAATTCGCCTCTGAACAAAAGTACACACCTTCAAAATATCGCTTATGAGCACTATAGCCTGCAGTAAGAAAAGATCCTAGTACTGTACTTTTTCAGCTTAAAGTTTGACAGTCCTGAGTAATCCTATAGCAAACACATAGTGTCACTGACCACGTCGACCTGTCAGCTATGCTTATGCCTAATAACCTTGGTTAAATCGAGCGTCGCTTCGCTATAGTAACGACTGTGTTTTTTGAAATAGATCTGTTTTGCAGATTCTCAAATAAAGGTAGTCATTATCTATTGCGATTACAGAGCATCCGAAAATGCCAAGGCCAGCAAGCTCCTTTGGTTCCGAAAATGTTATACGTAGCTAGAATGACGGAATGACTTTTTTTATAATATATATACGCCCATCTAACCTGACAATCTATTTTATGACAATTTTAGTTAATTAACAACGTATAACTGTAGTCTCAGACTTCAGGTGGAGCACGTATAACTCGCAAGAGGAATCTCTAGTTAATTTCATAAGCGACATTTGAAATAGCCAGAAAACTAACTGAGTGTGATATACTGGAAGCGATATATACATCTATTTAAGATCACAGTTAAACGCTAGTAATTATTGAGGGTATCAGCGGGACTAGAATGGATTGTCAAGTGGACACCTTTCAAGGCCGGAAGCAATTTAGCTAGGACACGCTTAAATGCATAGGTTCTATCCTGTATCGGTCGCAATATAATATCGTCGTACAGTATAATCTGCAATATACAGTGAACCAATATAATATTAATACTGCGAAGTTATGAGAGTGACATCACTAGGTAAATGCTGCGCTACGTGCAGGACACCAAACGTTTCAGTCGAGATCCATAGGTATCTATATTTACACTGACTCAATAATGCATAATGTATGTTTAATGTAAGCATCGGCCGAAGATTCAAAGCGTTGAAATGAAAGTTACTGGCCTGAAGTCTACTGTCCCATGAGGTCTCTCTGATGTCGCTGCTGGAAGTTCACAATCATCAGACATAAAACTCGTCAACGACAGTGTAATATGATTATCGTTTCACATGCCGAAGTCTATTTAGCTCGTTAGAACACGGTATTATTTGTATCACCCCATATAATCAAAGTAACATCCGGCAAATTGTTAAACCCTTTAGTATTGAAAATTAATCAAGCAACACCTGCTTGCTCTACACGCATTTTACTGTCGAATACCTATTACTAACAACCAAAAATTTCTCCATATGAGTATCTTGAAAAGCAAAAACGCTACCTTATGCCTGCTACGCTATGGCGCCGTATGCGGAATAAACTCGGCGGCGAATATTCGCTATTGGTATCTAAGTGCAAAATCGCTGCTCGAAGGGTCAACTTACCCATTTGCAACTAGGCACTCGTATAGACCTACTTAAGTTCGGAAATATCGCCTTCAGTGTAACCAGATGGAACGCCTTCGTATTGCAACATGAAATGAAATTAGTGAGAAGTATGGCGAACCGTAGCCGTCCGTGTCCAATCAACTGAAACGTAAAAAAATCGCAGACCGACCAGTATTGGTCACCAAATACGAAACGAATACATCTTAATTGGATAATCGCCGTGATAGGTGATACGCTGTGTGTTTTAAGTTGGCTCAGTCTGAGATGAAAGCTCGGTTAGTTCAAATCGTTTTCCTACCCGTTATACTCGGAGAAAATTCTCTACCATCGGCTTTTATTACCTAGCGGACTGACTATGGCAGCTAGTTATTACTAACTCACAGTTTGTAGTAGTTGCGTAGCGAGGTGCTCCACCGGGTGGGAGAAATCCTATGCCGGCGAAATTTAAGCTGAAAGCTCGCCGAATACAAGTCTAAACGATTTACATACGTAACGTTACTTTTACTGTTGTTTTAGTATTGAATGTCTTTTCGATTTTCGTCGTGTGACTAACATAAAAACATATCCTTATGGATATGAAAAGAACTTCTACTATCCCAAGAAGTGCTGCCTTCATTAAGGTCTAATTCATACACGTTTTTATACAGCCAAAACTGCGCTCCAAACATGTTCACTTATTTTTTTTCTAAGAAAAAAGCTTTTCTATTAACAAATTCCGATAAGGAGTAAACCTGTGATGTATGATTCGTGAACCCTTTACTTGTATACAAATAAAATGGCACATCTTCAAATTACACACCATTGAGCCCTACATAACACGATCATTTATAAAAGGTAGAAAACAACTGCAAGGTCTTCTAGTTTTTAATAAATTCTTGTAACTAAAAAAAAATCTTGATAATTTCAAATTAAAATGAAAGCTTTCTACATTATATGTATATATATATAATATATATATTAGATCTTTTGTTGACTGCCACGTCGTTCGTTGTGCCGTTCCGGTACCTTCTTCACATCTAGCGAAGTCAGGCATATTCGTTCAGAACATAGATATAAATTTTCAATACCGCATCTTTTTATTCGTAAATAAATTTGAGTATATTCGTAAATATAGTATATAAATATTCGTAAATAAACTAATATGAGAACAAGCGGTTTGCTTGGTGGACCTTTTGGGCAATAAACCAGAAACACGTCTGAGGTCCGCTATGAATGCGGAATAAAGAACCTGTCAGAACTCAAATCAAAAGAAGCTATCGTTACGTTGTTCCGGCCTGTTCCAAGTAACTATTTTTTTCGAATATGATAGCTCCCTTGTGTAATATATAACTTTGGTAACAAAAATATGACAAAGAATACACTCGAAGATAGTGATCAAATACTACCAAGCACAATGTTGACTAGCACAAACTCCAAAGACCTTTTGCGTGACATGTTCGTGCATTTGTTTGAACCAGATAAATCAGGCTGAAATACATCACAGAAATGATTGTGAATAGCCTTAGATAATCCATAATAAAACTGGCCGGAACCACTTTTTCATTCGAAGATAATAGTTAAAACCCAAAATCCCAAGTCCAAAATCAATCTACCAACAGGGAACTGTAGATCAAGACGTAATAATAAAGAAGTTATAATTCCCAATGTCCTACTTATATTCTACTATTTGTTGTTTTTTACTTATATTCTATTTGTTGTTTCTTAGCAGATAGTACACTTTCCAGTAACTATGAGAAAATCAAATACGCCTTGAAAAATTAAGAGAGACTTTGTGTTGTTGGCTTAGTTCTCTAGCTGCCATGTTAAACAACGCTTTAACAGGACGCCATGGTCGGTGAGTTAGTGACACCCGGCCGGCAATTCGTTATTGTGAATTCCGCAGTTTTGCCCGTTAACCACTATGGAGAATATACCTTGTAGGGATTCTTGAGCAAAGCTGGTAACTCACATAAACTAGCTGAAAGGATTCGCATCGTCGTTACAATTGGCCAACAAAAAGGCCAATAGGCATATGCATAGCCTTTGATGTTCTCCTGCATCGTTGTGTGGCACGTTTTAGTATGACATTGAACGCGTCGCATAAGAGGAAATATCGCTACTATTTACTAAAGGAAGTGCTTTTTTTTAATTATATACTCAAGGAATATTAGGTTGACTAAAAGGTAATTTCATACGGTAGGCAATGACACTCCATGTGGAACCCACCTTATCGACTTGGCTTCGTCGCTCAAATCGAAATTTAAAATTTTACAACGCTGACAGCAGCTACGGTAAAAAAGTACACTCATATCTTGCGCAGTCATCTTTGCTATCATATACAACAGCTCTTGTTAATCCAGTTGCAGCTTGTTTCAGAAAGGAACTTTCTTTCTGGAAGGACAAGGATTTCAGAAAGTTCAGAAAGGAACAGTATCGGACATCCGTTTTTTGGTCGCACGATTCGATCGCAAAAAAACTCGTAAATCGTATGGCAAATGCAGAGCAACCTAGAGAAAAAGCGAGGCAAGCTTTGAGCCAAATGTGTAAAAATACGTACAGATTTTTATAGTTTAGAAGGTGTTGAAATTAGCTTTCGATCGTCCAATAACTGCGCGCATACAGATAATGCTTTGATATGTGTTTTATAGAAAAATCGTATATTTGAACGATCTAACAATCTTATGTGCTGCCTGAGCGTCACTTCCACTGAATGCTCTAATAGAAGTATGTTATGACCTGCCAACTGATAACGGGCCTTTTGTCAAGAGTTTTCAGAGCGCGAGTCGATGCACCCAACCCAGAAGGGCACTTTTCAGTTCAGTGCTTCAATATAGTTCCATTCTCCATCATATCTGTGAGCTGGCAGAGAACTGCAAAAAATGAAATATGAATTATAATTACCTACAAGCATCAGTGGTGAACATACATACATAGCCTTGCTACATGCAAACAAAACTGGATATTTTCTTTCCATATATATTGCTAAAAAAACAGATTTAATAAAAGTTTAGTATATAACACAGCACAGCATTCGATGAAATGGTTTCAGGTGAGAATTTGAAGACTTTGTTGTGCCGGACAGTCTATAGCGTCTTGTTATTTCATGATCAAGCAATGATATTCTGAGGCAGATGAGCACCTTCCGAATATTTAGTACAGATGTGTTACCGTCCTAAGTAAGATTCTGATTATTGCTGGACACCTTTTTTTAAGATTTTAAAGATAAAATTATCCTTAAAATAGCAAATTAATGAACTTTTTTGAGATGATCGATGTACAATACAGCATGTTTTACTATATGGAGATTCCGAGGTAGAAAACCATAACATACATTTCGTTTGTGACTTCTTCAGCTACAAGCGAGTTTTACGGCAGGCATACTTCCAGAACGACTGTGAAACGCTGATAGCGTAGAAACAGTCGAGCAATAATTTAAGCCGCCTTAAAAAAGCAATTGTTCTCTTTGACCTGAAAATCATTCCGATACGTTGTTTGTAATATCACAAATTTGTAATAGTAGTTGGTTTGCCTACTTTTCTGAAAGCCACAGTTGGCTGAAGACATGACAAAAGATCCCGTTTGTCGGAAACCTCAAACCAACCAAAAATAAGATAACAACAAAGAAAACAGTAGAGATTAAGTCTGCTGTATGATTTTCCGACAGCCGCTGGATATCAACAGGATTTCTCGTGTGATAAAAAAAAAATCGCAAAGCTATTATTATACTGTCTATCATTTTTTTCATATCGAGATAAAACAAATATTCTCTGGATTTGGCCAGGATGCTAGATTAGTGACAGCATGCTGTAATGTTGGATTTACCTTTGTCTTTAAACATGTTTAGAAAAGTGGTAAAACGCAATTTGAAGCAATGTAGCCGGAGATCAGTTAAAACGATTACTTAAAGTAGGAGTAACTATTTAGCTTACTTATTATATATAGAGCTTTTAGAAGGCTGGCATGATATTTAAGGGTGATCACCATCATTTATTCAGCTACGGCAAACCAACAGTATCAATTTGTCTGTCCAGCTGGTAAGCCTTCTGCGTTATATAGTATATAGTTAAACAAAAGGAAATAAATAACACAGGACCATGAAAACGATTACTTTGCGACGTTTCGTTCTCTATAAAAAAAGGAAAAAATCAAACTAAAATCTTCTATTCCAGGAGATAATTTTAAACTGTGCCGTTGGCTTTGTGCAAACTCTACTGGCTACTTGTTAATGAGGAACAGTAACGTCAAATAATCCTTTTGGTAATTGTAATAATAATAATAATAATAATAATAGTGATAAAAAGAGCTGTTATTATTACTATTGTGAGGATAGCACAGAGTTTATTAGAACAAAGGCAAGAAAAATTCGTAGACTTACTTACCGATAACGATTAGGCTTGCTTAACGCAGTAGGTAACACAAACGTCCGTCAGTGGTGCAGACATTTGGGCACTTGCACATATAACAGAGTTATAATTTCACAGCTTTTTAGAAGGGATCAGGTCAGCCTATCGAAAAATTTAAGCGTGCCTCGTTCTCTCGGTCGTAGGCGTCAGTTTGTATGATCGTTCTCTCTGCTGTTTGGCTCGTTAGTGCGTTCAATAAGAGACGACTTCTGAGTGTTGTAGAACGTCTGCGTAGTCACGGCGCGGCCTTTGTACTTCTCGACGAAGAACCTGTTAGTATCATAGGCCGGCGTTGCCAGAACCGGCAATGGCTGTGTAGGTTCACAGGTCCATAATAAAGCTTTAGTAACATTGGTACTTGCACTTCTCAATAGTGCTTGTCTTGCATAAATCACCATCAGTATAAAGGCAATTCCGAATAATGAACAGCACGCCAACGTCACAACCAGGCACCATGTTTTTTCCCTATGCGTTGTAACGGTACAATAGTTAATTGAGAATTGATAGTGAGTCAACAAACCTTTGAGAATGGGCCGCTCATCGTTCAAGTACTTAAAGTGGTTATAAAATCAGAAGTTCGGCTTCTCTCAACTTAAGATAACTAATTAGAAAGATTAAAGATAGCCATCTATGAGTGTCGACGCCACTGTATACCAGCAACGTTATAACGGCAAAAACTATGAAAATAATCCCACTAATAATAAACATTAGCATATAATTGTTTTTCGTTATATCTTGTGTTTCCGCTTCAACTACGAGTTTTCCCGACTGTGAATCACCTATTCTCCTACCTCAACCAGCAACAAGCCTGCTCCCTTTTTTACCCATTCATGCTTTCGTACCTTGTTCTTTCTGCTACAGTAACAAACACTTTGCTATAAAAGCGAAACATGCTTAGACTGTATAACGATTTTTTTTTTTTGCTGAACTAGTACGGCTGCATTACTTTGTGATCACAACTAGCATTGCATAGAGCCTCAAAGACCTGTATCGTATTCATCTATGAAAATAAGACGGTAAAATCAACATCTACCATAACTATGTTTTGGCTCGTTTAGTAGACCTGTATCAAAAATCCGAGGTAACTATATAGGTTATTTAGATGAACAAAATTAAGCCCAAGTAGATCTTAACGTAGCCGCTGACGAGAATGTTTTGGACTCCACGATGGCGGGGTGGCTAGGCAGTTACACAAACAAATTAAAGGCTTCGTTTTCGATGCTCGGTTGAAATTTACGGCGTTTAATGTCAGCTTATACCACCGTTACTATTGGCTAGCATGATTGTAACTGCAGTTACTACTCGTGAAATGGTAGTAAGGAGTGGTTTTTAGCCGGTCCTTGCACGTTGCGGGGATTTTTACGAAGCTCCTGAATAGTCAGACAACAACTATAGCGCCGCAAGCTACAGTTATGGAACGGTAAAGGCAAAGCACGATTAGAGCTACACTGAGAGCACCATGACCCAAAGCAGCACGGCCGATTTTGAAGATACAAACGCCAATAAAACAGCAATATAGTTACATACTCCGTTATAAGGCAAATCGGTGTTTCGCAAATAAATTTAGTATTGAAGGGGCAGACCAAGTCTGCAAACTGCAAAAGAGAAACCTTTGCCTTCCCTGATAAAGCCAGCGAGAATTATTAACACCTATTTGAAAGTAGCCACCCATAGATCTAGAGGATCTGATTGCTGCTGTCAGAAATACAAAAAGAATAAGATCATGGTCGATGTCAATTTATTCAGTCAAGAAATAAAAGGATTAATTAAAGAACAGCGGCAGAAGTTGACCTCTATGGAACGGCCAGGGATACATCAACGACCGGCACGGCAAACGGGAAAAGAAAAGCAAAAAGAAAAAAGGGACACTGAGTGTCTACAACGTCTTGAAAAACCCGAACGCACAAAACTTCATGCTGACTGCGAAGGGATCACCAGCTTTCAACCAGACGAAGCTGTCTACCACTAGCATTTTGCCAAACAAGCTACCACACGTAATATATGTAGCATATGTTCTGCTTTCTATAGCAAATGAGAAGGACAGCACCTCACCACTCAATTTTCTGCCGACATGAACCTATTTCAAGTAGTAGGAAATTATAGCTGCCTGATCCCATGGCACGCTTAAAATATCGCTGTGTCACATCACCCCCCTCCCCTCCGATCCATATAGCCCGTATGCTTTTGTCAAGGTGCGAAAACAAACACGCATCAGAGATTACTACATTGTTAAACTACCGACGCAGGCAGTGGGACAGTTCATTAGGCAAGAATACATCTAGAAAGGATAAACCTTATGCGGGGCCCGCCAATTTATCGGCCGATAAGTATGCTTCCCGCACTTTTGAAGACCGCAAAGCACAAGATTACACGCAGGCTAATTAAAGAGTTGGGCAGCAGGAACGCAATGTTTGGCGACCAATATGGCTTCATAGAAAGGCGCATATTGGTGGCAAGTTCCTGGAGGTAGTAGGAAGACAATGAGTTATGTCCTGTTGATCTAGAAAATACTGCCTCGCAGCCCTCTTGGGCGTTAAGAATGCGTATGGTTCTGTGACCTGAGTCAAGATAAATGACATTTCATTTAACAGCGCACAATATTTAAAATGCATAAAAAAAATCGTACCTAAGCGAAAGAGGAAAAATTTGCGACGTAGGGTATTCCACATGTAGGGTCCTCGTGTCCACCTTGTGGAAAATAGAGTACGACGAAATGCTACGTCTATCTTGCCTACTGGGTACGCCCTTAGTAACGTACGCTGACGACCTTGCGCTAGTTCTGACCACCCGAAAGCCTCAGCCATATAAACGAGTGACAAATACGGTCCTTGTGGACATTTCATCCTGGCTAGGGCCTCGCGAACTCAGCCTGCTACCGAGAAAGACAGAATCGGTACTGCTCAATAAATAAAAGGGCTCGCCAGAATTTCACATTCAACAGTGTGGCTATTCAAACAGGCAAAGTTCTTGGAGATTATGACCAGAGATCGATTCACATACAATACGTCCGCTACATGACAAAGTGGGTCGCCCAGACTTTCGATGCCTGCTCCTACGGAACAAGGTTGTCTCACACGGGAAGTAAACGTCATCTAACATCCGTGGGGGGTTAGCACAATTCATTACGTTGCTCCAATGCGCAACGAGATAAGAAGTCGATGCGTCAGCCTCTGGACAGGACGCAACGCCCAATAGTTGTCGAGCCATCAGAGAGACAAGCGGATCTGATTACGCTTAGAGAAATGGTCGCAACAGTGAATCTTGATCTAAATCAGACAACTCGGATTTCGGACGAAGTGCTTAACCCCTTATTGAAGAAATGCCACGGATGCGAACGTACTTATCGTTAACACACTTAATAACCTAGCTGCTTACGGGCCGTGGGACCTTCGAGGCGTACTGACATCAAATTGGTAAAAGGATATCTCTCATCTGCGTCAGCGGCCAATACGGTAGAAAAAGACAGCGCCCAGCGTTATCTTAAATCCTATCTGTGTTTGGCAAGCAACGCAGACGGCTGCGGGGCCAAGGTTGGTTTTGCCCAGGACCAAGTGCTTGCTCCACCATGTGCCAAACTGGTAATTGCAACTTGAAATGGTGAATAATGATGGAAAAAGGTTGTAACGTTTGCTAATAGTAATGTTAATAAAAATCATTATAAAAATACGGTTGTAGGAAAAGAATTGGGACACATATGTTCACTAACAAGGGAGAATTTTTTAATTTTATCAAATATTCTTTCGTCGCGGGGTAACTGATCGAAAAAATTAACTGCTTAATATCGAAATTTATTCCCATGTGATACAGGAATGGAAATGGGGGCATTGGCGCGGAGGGGTTTAGACCTTAGAAAAAAGCTCTAATTCTTTCAATCTTTGGAGACAGTGTTTTTTTTTCAAAATATAAAATATTTTTTTTTGTCTAAACGGTAAAAACTAGATGTCTTTTTTTTGTCGTACCGTTTCCGTTGTGTGTCTCTTAACACACGTTTATTGTCGGTGCCGTTGCCTTCAGTCTGGACTGGTGAACTTTTTTTTCCGCCGGAAAATTTGTTTGTCTTTGGGGATGCTGGACTTGCGCTCAAGATTCTTGAGAAACGAAGACCTATCGATTTATTTGACGTACGAGCTACAGGGGAACTTGTTTCCAATCCTGACGATTTTCGAAGGTCTGTAGAATTCTGTACGTCTGCTGCTTTCCGAACGTTTGCCAATTTCTGCGAATCCGCCGACCTTTGAAGGTCTACAGATCTTCGATGACTCATCGATTCGGTTACAATTCCTGCTTTTTCTGCTGACTCTGATATATTTAAGGAGACTGATCTTTGTTCGGCTTTGTCCATTACTTTTTCTGATGAACCTGATTCTGGAATGGGTGATACCGTTTTTGGGCCTATTGATGCGTGTACGTTTTGCTTTGATGATTCAGCGTTTTCGTCCGCCTCTGTCCACGCAGGCTAGAAAGTTCAAGGAACATGAAATACCATGATAAAACGCACGGTGCCCACTCTCTGTGGAAACTACAGATCTTTACGGGGCGTTGGCTTCTATTCATTACATTCCGTTTCACATCACCCTTCCATAGTCTTTTTATGTTTGTAAATCAAATACACTAAGGAATATAACAATATTATCTGAGCATATTAAATAATTTTGCTTATTTAAGACGTTTGAATTATTATTTATACGTCTGAGTATATTACAACTTGGACTATAAATTCTATTGTAAGTGAACAAGAATCGATGGTCTGTGCCACGCTGTGAATATTTCTTAATGGTTTTATTAAGTGCTTCTCTGTTTGATGGTACCATCAAAAGCACCCATTTTAAATGAAAAAAGCATGTAAAGCGTTCGATACCCAACCCAATATAATTACTGTAGCAGTTTATTTACATGATAAACTACAGTAATGTGTGAAATCGTCGTTGCAAATAAATTAGTAATAGAATTTGGCTAAACATTATATTATGTTGACGTCCCGCTCGTAAAGGAAACTCACCGGGTATGACATTTTCGCAAGGCTTAGCCAGCTGCGAAGTAAGCACTTCTGATTTCACAATGAAGTGATTTACTTGTCTAGGGAGTTAGTCGATGGTAAAAACTTGACGCGGGTAATTCAAATATGACTTTTGTTCGAGAAAGCTTGGCAGTTGCCGCATGTTTGATTAGAGTATCCGTATGAGCATCACGGGTTGTAGTTTTAACAATGGTTTAAATGGCGCGCAAAAGTTAACGGGATAAAAAAAAACTACATGCGCCTGCTCATAACTTGCCTCAATAAAAACGATTCATTCTATATATAAGTCAGATGCAAGGAAGGAACTTTTCGAGGTAACTCAATAAACAAAACAATAATTACGATGCTACACACACAGCTAATAAACGAAACCAGCCAAAAATTAACAAATGTAAGGTAAGCACAGATGATATTCATGGCATGGGATTAATGTTCCTTAATATACAATATTGTCAGTTTTCGTATACTGAATAACTTTGTTTTTTACGTTTGGTGGTTAAGCCGTTAGGGCTGCCTCACAGCAGGAAGTGACTCTGCGCTTGTATTCGAACCTAGACCACTACACGTCCTATGTTTAGTCAGCAGATACGTTACTCTCTGGGCTTTCGTATACTCTGTTTCACTGAATAGTCAGCTTCGATTCTTCTAGCTAATCCACGATTGGAATAGAAGAAAAAGGGCCTTAGTTACTACTGAATGACATGGTTTTGTGAGCTTGATTAATCACATAGTCTCGGCCTAATCTATCAATGTCTTTAAGTTTCATTTTAATATATTCACTTGTAGACCTTTTAGTCTCCTTGGTCACGTTTGACTCATTATAACACACGTATTCACCTATCTGAAGACACTATATTTTTGTGTACTAGAAGAGGACAACAGGGGCTAACGTTGCCCTAGTATGAGACACCTATGTGTTTTATATGTGATGATAATCGCCACATAATGTTCATGGTACATATGGTATAAAACACGGGACCCATCCGCAAGGCAGAAGTGGATGGAGTCTTCGAAGACAGAAGTATATATATTTCGTTACCGGTTCTTGCGTAAGTATTTCGAATCAATGTATTGAAATTACAATTCAAATTTAAGCTTGTCTGGAATAGATCTGGAACTACTGATACCACCTATAGTCACTAAAAATATGGTCAAAAAAGACACAGATGACAGCTCGGCCGAATCATAATCAAACAAAATACTTGCCCACCTTTCTTTGACAGCAGAAATTCTTCTAATTAGCTAGTTTCAGACGAATGTAAAGCAGTGATTATTTATAACTAACTTAGAAAGCTTCGAAGTTACAAATTTTCTATTCAGAATTCTAAACATAGAAAATGATGCTTTCCCACTATACTGAAGATAGCCGAGCTGCATTTTTAACTGTGAGGCTATTCTTATTGATTGCAAGTTCTAGAACATAGAACTGCGAGCGAAACTCTAAATGCGTAGTTACAACTTAAGTATTATTCTGAAGACCTGTATGAGCTATAAGAGTTCTAGGCGAAGTGTATCATATCGAATACGAATGTCAGTACAATGCTCAGAATGTACTTCGGACTTGTCTGCCTAAGCTTTCCCAGATCTAGATATGTTTGCGTTTGTATAATTATATGTGGTCATTTCTACGTATAACCGTATGGATGTTGTAATTTCAGGACGTACCTGAACGTATTACTGCTGGCGATCTAGGATGGATACAAGTTACGTTGGTAATAGGCCTCGTGACGGATAAAAAATTGCATGAAAAACTAGTATAAGATAATAATAACATTATTTTAACCTATTAATCACCTATAATCATTTGATGGTTAGCAGACAAATGCGCAGGTACTTTTAGTCGTGAAGGCACACAGCCCTGAGAGTTTACTCTGCCTGCCATATTTGGACGAACGGCGCAGGCCGGCTTTCACAGTAGTCCCTGTTTCAATTTTTCGTGAAGAAACAATCGTGCGCATGTGCTTCCTTGTCCTAGGTTAGGTTAGCGATAGCTGCTACATTGTATTTAATAGTGACGATTTGAATTCGCGTTACCACTTCGTCGCGTCGATTCGCTCAAGACGGCCTGCCCCACTTCATCTGTCTGTCATTTCTCTGAATGTGCAGAAGCGAACGTCAGCAGATTAGTTTTCGGAGAGGCGATGTTCGATCTGTAAAATAAGTATCGATTACTGGTAGTCCAATTTAGTGCGACATGTAATAACTAAGATGTGAAGATTGCGCTGAGCCTAACTGGTAAATCTAGTTATTTTATTCATGGCAAATAAATAAAATTTCTCAGGTTTTTCACGCTGCGGATACGCTGGGCGAGATCCACCTAAGGTTTCACGAAGTATACTGCAATATCTTCTATGAATGGATCTTCACATGAACAATATTCTAAAGCAGAATACGGCGTATAGTAAATTCAAATACACTTCGAAACCTTCACTTAATTATCCAGAGCAATGGAATCAACTAGGAAAGCTTGAGGAGAAGATAAGATTTCTTACAACCAGTCACAGGCAACGCGCATCAATGAAGGATTGAATCAATGAACGAAATATAGGGAACTTTATTTTTGATTACGTGTAGGTTTGGAAGAGGGCTTTGGTCAACACAAAGTATTTTTATGAAACCGTTTTTGAGTGATATTTTGTATCATGGCTGGACGAGTGAGGAAGTCGTTTTAGTTGTTCCTGTATAGGTAATTGAATCACGTTCATAATTTTCCTAACGATCCCTTCCAAGCACAGTTGTGTCCTTCTACGAAATCTCAAACATTAATCAACATTTCTGGGTTAAATCTTTCAAACGTATCTGGGTCTAGCTATGCGTCTTAGTGCAACTACAGTTTTCATTTATTACGGGAGAAGTAATAGCCGAGATGATTTGGGACGAGGAATTGAAAAACGCAATCCCTTGATGCTGCAGATTTGATGTATCGACCAGCTATTTAAGCGCGACTCTAATGAATGGACGAAAGCTGTCCAAGATAAGTAATATTAATATAAAGGAAGATAGTAGTTGGTAGGCTATGATTAATGATTTTGTGTCACATTTGGAGGTAAATGTTTATGGTGAATTGTCTTCCTCAATTATTTTTGAAGAATTATTTACATAATCGTTTTTATATTCATTGGTAAATGTCGTAACGATAAGTATTTCAATAGAACTATCTCTCTGAGATATACGAATGCATATTTAATATTATATTAGGACATTCTGTATGAAACGTGACAAACGTTAATTTTATTGCTGACGTTACAAGCTGACGTTATCCTATAACAGTGCGACATTTTGCAACACTTTTTTTTTTCTACATTTAATGCTTTTGAACTTTCAGAAATTTGGGACTGTTCATCCGGATATCGTCAATCGGGCATTTAGCAGAGTAGTTGGAACGGCTAGAGGAAATGTGAAAATTTCAGTGGTTTACGATTATGAGCTCCTTTTTGACACTAGAACGACGGAGACTATTTGTCGTATAAACGTTGTTTTTTGGTAAAAGTTCCACTGCTACGAACACAAAAACCGGAAGTTTCCGGTAAAGACATGAAAATGCTCTTATCGAAATAGTTTGTCGTATATAAAGATACCACACTTGTTCATTTCGGTCAAAGTAACAAGGTAAATGATTTAAAAAGGGAGACATATAAAAATTTGCTTTCCATTGGTTTTAATAACCGATTCATGTCAGTAATTGACCTTGTACGATGGTTGCGTGCAACTAAATGGACATTAGCCTAAAGCGAATATACATTTGTAAAAGTGTATGGTTTCTTTTTAACGGTGTGATTAAGGCCTGATTCGTCGATTACGGTTGTCCATAATTCAAACAAAAACTGCAAAATGTCGAAGTTGCCCTTCGAGATTTCGTAGATTCTTATACGTTAGACTTCTACAACCTGGACATGAAGATTTTACCATACAAATGGTACAAGATCGTAAAAATTAGAGAAAAATGTTTGAAAATCTATGTTTAAGTGTTAATTATATCACATTATTAGGAGTTGTATGCCATATTTCAGACTGAACGACATAAAATAAACCTATCAACGGTTTCCTTTGTTACAAAAAATCTATTTTGATAATGGTTCCTAATTTGTTCTGGTGATTTAATATATTGAACAAATTTTATTTGAGGGTATGCACGAGCAAC